TTTTTGTTTTGCCATCCATGATTCCCTATCCCTCACCCTCTGCCATGTCCCACCCTCCTCCCACATGTCTCTGGTATCCATGGTTGTCGTTTATTCTAGATGGGAAACCACATTTAGTATGTTGTGATGATGCTCAGGGAATGAAGGTTAAGTAATTTTAAAAAAAGTTGCAGGAGAAAAAAAACACAGTAAAACTGTTCATATCGAAATTTTAAAAAATGCATATATGATGACTGCAGTAAGCTATATAGCCCCAGCTGGGTATTACTTTATAATATGTTGATTCTACTCACTGAGGTTTATGCATAAAGTCAGACTTGGGTTCATGTATAGGTATACGTCAGCTGTGCTAGCTATTGGATACATTTAGACTAATTACGTTCATTAGCAAATCAATTAAATGGGGGGAGGAAGGCATAGAAAACAACCTCTTCTTTATAATTCAAAACACAGGGCAGACTATCTGCGTCAGTGTCCATTCATTCCTTTGGCCTGGTACATGGCATGCCCTCCTGCCTTGCATACCTACATCTTTTACTCCATCCAAAAAGCCCTACTTAATAATATTTGTGATTACTGCTTCTGTCCCACCTGTCCGTTACTTCCTCAAAATGGTTGTTTACTTTTTTCAAGTTTTATCTTGCTATAGAGTGCATGCTCTTACAACAGAGAAAGTGAGAAATCACCTCCTACAGGAGATGGCCACACCAAAATTCACTCCATTTCTCCTCTTGGAATTGCTTTTGGGCATGCATGCACAGGTGCCCAGCACGCTTCTCAAGTTGCTGGGTCCAAGACTCAAAGCACAGAGTGGGCCATGTGGGATCCTACCTACAATGAGAACTTGAAGAGGGCAAGGTTGTCTGAAGTCGACTAAACAACTGCTCTTTGAAATAATAAAAACAGGGATTCCTTTTCTTTTATAAATGGTTTAATTGATCATTCAGCTTCAGAAATAACTCCTAAAATGAAAATATAAACATTTTATTGTTTTTCAGAGTTCATTTCTTCTTTTATTAGCAGACAGTATCAATCCATTCTCGTACTGAGTGCTGCAAAGAAATGAAACATTTGGGTAACTGCGTTACCCAGACCCATCCTAAGCAGCACAAGTCCCCAGCAGCCTCAAAGGGAAGACTTCTCGCAGTTGTTCCTCAGTGTTTGTGGCCAGGCTATAGCACCTGCTTGAAGTGGAAGAGTTCACCTAATCCTACCCCAAAGTGGCAGGCATGGAACCCTAGAAGTCAAACATTGCAAGAATCTAGATACCACTATCTACTTGGTAAGGAAGCAAGGGGCATGAAATGTGTGAGCTTGAAGCTATAAGTGGGCCTGTGTAGGGCAGGTGTCGGGCTGTGAGGAAGGAAGGGAGGCCATGTTCCCGGCTGCTGGTGGAGATGCACAGACGGACGGCAGAGAAGACGGCAGTGCAACGTATCCCTGCATCTGAGTGGCACTTGCTGTTCACAACTGTTACCGTCTGTAATTCATCTCACAATCGCTAGGGACTCAGATGCAAAGACAGAGC